CCCTGACCCCCGCGGCTGCGACGGAGCGGGTAACGTGCCCCCAGCCCCACAGTTGCCTCCACGGGTCCCCCATTGTGTGTGTGTGGGGGGGGGGAGGCAGGTGGGGGAAGAAAAGTGTGAGTTTCTTCTTTGAGGAAGCTGGAGGATTCAGGTGGCCGGGAGCCAGGGGGGCGTCCAGACACGGGGTTTGTGTGTGTGAAGGCAGGGGTAGGAAGCACCTGAGTGGGAGTCAAGATGGTAGGCAGGAGGGAGGGAAGGAAGGAGACCTTGGGCCTGGGGGGTTTGGCTGAGAACATGGAGGGGATGAATCAAGATGGAGCGGGCCGGCGTTTGAATGTAGGAAGCATAAAGATGGAGAGGCAGAGATCATGGTGGGGGGAAGAGAGGAGAAGATGTGGCTTTGGGGGGGTGAGAAAGGGGAATTCAGTGGGCGAAGGCTGAGTTGAAAAAGTGGGGGGTGCTTTGGTTTGACATTAGGAAGGCTGGACTCCATAGTTAAGAGACTCTTCGTCTTTTTCCCCCCCAGTGGTTTTATGATTTTACAACCCACCCACCCCCAGCTCCTTGTTCAGCCAGCAGTGAGTGGATCCTGTCCTCTGCTACAGTGAGATCCTCCCTTCCCCAAAGAGGTAAGAGGTTTTAAGTTATTTTTAAAAGAGATTTTAATGTAAAAATACCATCCTCCCCTACCTAATTGTTGATTTTTAAAAAATGGCTTTGTATGTCTTTCAGCTCTGGTTTTAATTCTTTTAATGATGTGGGGGTTTGTTGGCTTTAATGGCTTTTAAGATGTGGTTTTCTGATGCATGTTTTTAATTCTGTTGGCTGCCTTGGTGGCCCCTTATGAGGGCAGAAAAGCAAGGTATACATTGGTAAAATAAATAATCGTTTCTGTAGCTGTGTAGTTCAAGTAGGCACACAAGGACAACTTCAGTATTTCCTTTGGGGGGGGAAAGTAACTTTAGCCACTGTGAGGGCTAGAAGCTTGAGTTCAAAAACATGAGACTGTCTTAAAAAAAAATTCTTAACAGAAAGCAAAGAATAAGGCAGCTGGTTATTTTGACTTTTTGAACTCCCAGGATCAACAAAGGAGTGGGGATCCTTGCCACTCCCCCGCACCTTGATCAAACGTCACCCGAATCATATTTAAAATGTGCAGTGGATGGGCTGGGCGCACAAACTGGCTGTGTCCCCCACCCCACCCTATGATAGAGTTTCCAATCTCGCCTACTTGGTTGCCCAGGATCTCTGCCCACATCCTGGTTTCTGTGGTCCGAAAACAAAGATGCTTTTGTGAGTGGTGATAAATAAATAGTTTTGGGTGGAGAAGCAGGGAGAATAATCTGATTGGAACCCGTGTGTGTCTCCGGCGTCCCAAGATCTGCTTTCATTTTTAATCCATATATTTCAATCCAAACTTTCTCAAGTGAACTCTCAAGAGGGGCAGAGGAGGGGTGGAGAGTGTTCCCCTCTCTGTTTTTGTCCTCCCAACATCCCTGCGAGGACCAAGTGTGAGTGCCTGGCCCATAGTCATCCCTGTTTGCTTTGTAACTCAGTGGGGATTTGAACCTGAATGTCTTCAGTCCTGCAGTCTAACCACTACACCAGACTGGCTCTGGATGGTGTTTGTTTCTAAGCGGCAGCGTGGTGCAGTGGTTAAGAGCAGTGGACTCTAATCTGGAGAACTGGATTTGATTCCCCGCTCCTCCTCCGCATGAAGCCTGCTGAGTGACCTTGGGCTAGTAATAGTTTCTCTCAGGACTATCTCGGCCCCACCTGCCTCACAAAGGTGCCTGTTGTGGGGAGAGGAAGGGAAGGCGATTGTAAGGCACTTTGAGACACATGAGGCCTGCTGGGTGACCTTGGGCCGGTGCCAGTTCCCTCAGGACTCTCTCAGCCCCGCCTGCCTCACAAGGTATCTGTTGTGGGGAGAGGAAGGGAAGGTGATTATAAGCCACTGTGAGACACATCAGACCTGCTGGATGGCCTTGTGCCAGTCCCAGTTCTCTCAGGGCTATCTCAGCCCCACCTGCTGCACAAAGTGCCTGTTGTGGGGAGAGGAAGGTGCTTATAAGGCGCTTTGGGCCACATCAGGCCTGCTGGGTGACCTTGGGCCAGTCCCAGTTCTCAGGACTCTCTCAGCCCCACCTGCCTCACAAGGTGCCTGTTGTGGGGAGAGGAATGGAAGGCGATTATAAGGTGCTTTGAAGACACATAAGGCCTGCTGGCGATTGTAAGCTGCTTTGAAACTCCTTATTGATTATTTATTTATGGTAGAGGAAAAAGTAGGGTATAAAACCCTACTCTTCTAAGAATGGACTTGTTTATTTAAACTACACATTTTTGTTGAACTAGGGACTGGAGGCCCAGGCTTAACATAAGAACATAAGAGATGCCAATGTTGGATCAGGCCAAAGGCCCATCCAGTCCAACACTCTGTGTCACACAGTGGCCAAAACTACCAGGTGCCATCAGGAAGTCCACCAGTGGGGCCAGGACATTAGAAGCCCTCCCACTGTTGACCCTCCCCCAAGCACCAAGAGGACAGCATCACTTGCCCCAGAGCCCCTATCTATACCTTGTGGCTAATAGCCACTGATGGACCTCTGCTCCATATGCCTATCTAATTCCCTCTTGAAGCCGTCCATGCTTGTACCCCCCCGCCGCCACTTCCTGTGGCAGTGAATTCCATGTGTGAATCACTCTTTGGGTGAAGAGGTACTACCTTTTATCCGTTCTAACCCGACCGCTCAGCAATTTCATGGAGTGCCCACGAGTTCTTGTATTGCCAAAAGAACAGCGGAGGCCGCGGAAGACGCACCGGAGAAAAACTGGAATTAGTCGCCCACTCGCCGGATAAACGAACGATCAGAGCCGGGAGGGTACCCGGTAGGGATCCCCCCACCCCAGACGTACTGTGGCCATAGTTAGGGTTTCTGCATAGGTCTCTGCACCATGCACCGTGTAAGCCGCTCAGAGCCCTTCGGGGGTGAGCGGGGTACAAATGGGAAGTATAAATATAAATAAATTGTGAGAAAGGGAGAAAAGTACCTCTTTCTCTACCTGCTCTTTCCCATGCATAATCTTATAAACCTCAATCATGTCACCCCTCAGTCGTCGTTTCTCCAAGCTAAAGAGAACATAAGAACATAAGAGACGCCAATGCTGGATCAGGCCAAAGGCCCATCCAGTCCAACACTCTGTGTCACACAGTGGCCAGAAATACCAGGTGCCATCAGGAGGTCCACCAGTGGGGCCAGGACATTAGAAGCCCTCTCACTGTTGCCCCCCCCCCCAAGCACCAAGAAGACAAAGCATCACTTGGGGATGGGGAAGAAGAGCCCCAAGTGCCTTAACCTTTCCTCATAGGGAAAGTGTCCCAACCCTTTTATCATTCGAGTTGCCCTTTTCTGCACTTTTTCCAAAGCTATAATGTCCTTTTTCAGGTGTGGTGACCAGAACTGCACACGGTATTCCAGGCAGGGCCTGGAGATCTGGAATTACAACTGTCCAAGATCAGCTTAGATCTCCACTGTTGCCGTGGAAACTGTCTGGGTGACCTTGGGCGAGCCGCACACTCTCACCTTCACCTACCTCACAGGGTCGTTTCTGAGAGAATAAAACGGAGGAGGGGAGGATATTTATATCCCATTTTGGGGAGAAAAGGAAGGTATAACTATCTTGGAGCGCTTCCCTTCTGGTGTGCTGTGAATTTGCCTCCCTTGCCATGTCTTCTGGCTCACTCGCTCTAATCTCAGAGGATAATTAGGGTTGTCGATGGGGCACCCGACTTGCATTCAGGGAGGGGGGGCCCCCCTCTCATGCTTTTCATTCTTCCGCAGCCTGGCTTCTGGGCCTCCCCCCTGCAAATTGCTCATGGCATTAAAAGCAGAAGGTCCCCTACCGGATTACATTGAGGTATCTCTGAAGTGCAAACGAGAGGAAGAGAAAATGGTTGCCGATCCTCTTGTGCCAGTCCATGACCCCGTTACCCAGGATGGAGCCAGCAAAGGCCTGGTGGGCAGAGGTAGGGAGTGTGCCCCACAGGAAGGACCCTTCCCCCCCCCCTTTTTTTTTACATACCTCCGTGGGGGCTCTTAAATAGATGGCTCTGTAAAGACAGTGGAAACCAGTGGTTACAGAAACAGGCCTGAGGAATCAGAACAAGTGGGTAACATTGCCAAATTGGGGATGGGGTTGCTCCAGTAATAGAGAGACTGTTGATAGTGTTGGGTGGGGCTGGGGAAGAAGAACCAGAGTTCTGTTCCCGGGTCTGGGAAGTGAATTTGGGTTGGGCAATGTTCCCCCTAAGCTGTGGGGTCCTGTGAGCAAAAATTCTACTTGGTGAGCTACCGGCATTAAGATTGTGAGCGAGCGATTTGGCTACTGCATAAATCCGTTTGCTCTGGAGCCCTCCTTCCTGGGCAAAGACAAGAATGTGTGAGCCGGAGGCTAAAAAACGGTGAGCTAGCTCACGCTAACTCAGCTTAGAGGGAACACTGGTTGGTGGTCAGGGTGGGTTAGAGCTGGCATTTATTCCTGATTTTGGGCAGGGGAAGGTAGTGATGGAGGAAAGAGCCCTCCATTCTCAGGAACAGAGTTTCAGCGTGACCACTTTAGCTTTTTGTGCTGGTTTAATAAACTTCTGCAAAGTCCGTGGGGAAAATTTCCTCCTTGGGTCTCGTTTGTAGCATCATCGGCATTCGATCTGTGAAAAACACAAGCACCGTGCAAGGGGGAGGGGGTGCTAATACAGAAGAAAATAAAGCCCATGCCACACCCCAAATTTATAATATAAATGGACCGTAAAACTTAATAATATCTGTCCTCATGAACATTAAACCTCTGTGGAGTAGCTTGATATGGAGCAGGAGGAGATTTCACTTGGCGGCCTCTGCTTACGGAATTACCTGGCTAATTGCTGAGTCCGCATCAGCCAGTAAATAAACCATCCTGGAAGGAGTATTCACTCCAGAAGAAATAAATTCTCAGCAGTCCCATAAAGACCTGGTCTTCAGGATTCCTTTGTAGCAGGTGTGGCAAATGAAGTTTTGAGGCCCCACTGGGGAGAAAGCCACAGTATAAATTAAATAAATAAATAGAGCATCAACGCCTGTATGTATAATCTGTATACTGTTAGCGACATGCTGCCCCCAGCTGCGGGTATCTAAATCAGTGGATCTGGGCCTTGTGGATGCTAAAAGGATTTTCCTGCAAACTTGCGGGACCCGCTAGGCAATGCGGAAAACCTTCGCCTGAGACCCTGGAGAGCCTCTGCCGGTCTGAGTAGGCAATCGTGACTTTGATGGACCAGGGGTCTGGTTCAGTAGAAGGCAGCTTTGCATGCAGAAACAGGAGGGAGCAGGAGCTATTCAATAGTGTCTGGTGACGTGCCTTTGGACTCCCATCTTAACCCGTCTCGTTCTGTGTCTCCTAGGAGACCAGCCGGTTCCCACCTCGATGGCCGGGGATGGTCAAACGAAGCCCTGCAGCTCCTGGAGGGAGGAGTACCTGATAGCCAAGAGCTCGGGACACGGCCGGCAGGTGTGCATGGTGTGCGGGGGAGTCTTGAGTGCCTCCGGTCCGGTGGCGGCGCGGGAACACATCCTGCAGCATCACGCCCACTCGTTGGACTACAGCCTGGAGGAGAAGCAGAACATCCTGGAGGCCTGGAACGAAGGAGTGACGCTTGCAGATGGAGAAATGCAGCCTTCCCCTGAAGGTACAGCGTGTCTCTTTTCAGTATGACTTTTGGAGTTTGGGGGTCTCTTCTTGGAGATGAGCAGCTCAGCGTTCTCAGAGTGCTCTGTTGAAAGGCTTGGAGATCAAAGGGCCTGTTGCACAGATGCCCTGTGTGGGACAGTTTGGCTTCTGAGCCAGTTTGGTGTAGTGGTTAGGAGCGCGGACTCTAATCTGGGAGAACCGGGTTCGATTCCCCCACACCTCCACATTCAGCTGCTGGTGTGACCTTGGGTCAGTCACAAGACCTTTCAGAGCTGCTCTCTCATGAGCAGTCCTCGGGAGAGTGCTCTCAGCCCCACCTACCACACAAGGCAGTATTCCCTCTAAGCTGAGATAGTGTGAGCTGGCTCACAGTTTTTTAGCCTCCAGCTCACACGTTTTTGCCTTAGGTCTGGGAGGATGGGCTCCGGAGGAAACTAATTTATGCAGGAGCCAAATCGATCACTCACAACTTTACCAGTAGCTCACAAAGCAGAATTTTTGCTCACCAGATTCCACAGCTTAGAGGGAGCATTGCTCACAGGGTGTCTGTTGTGGGGAGGGGAAGGGTAAGCCGCTCTGAGACGCCTTTGGGTAGCGAAGGGCAGGGTATAAATCCAATCTCCTCCTCCTCCTCCTCCTTCATCCACCCCCCTCTCTCCCACTCAACCCTTTCTTTTGTAGCACGGGAGCAAGGAGTGCAGTGTGGGGCGATTCATGGCCAAGGGCGGAGTGGACAGTGCTTGCTGGGGAGGGGACATGACGGATGGGGGAATATCTAGACTGAAATTTGTCTCTTGGGCTGTGCATCTTCTGTTCCACACAGCCTTGCATAACCCAGCTGTGCACATTGGAGTGTGGTGGTGGGTACATGCTACAGGATTCAGTGTCCAAAGAAATTTGCCTCCCCCACCCCTCCCCAAGTTATGGCTCTCCGAAAACCTTATAGTGATGAAGATTGGTGGTGGAAAGTACCGTCACAGCCAACTTATGGTGGCCCCATAGAGTTTCCAAGGCAAGAGAAGAACAGAGGTGGCTCTGCCATGGCCTGCCTCTGCGTAGCAACCCTGGGCTTCCTTGGTGGTCTCCCATCCAAGGACTCACCAGGGCCGACCCTGCTTAGCTTTCCAAGATCTGATGAGATCCGGCCAGCCTGGGCCAGTCAGGTCAGAGTGGGAATTAAATAGACTTGGGTGTGTTCGTGTCTGTGTTTTTTAATGGCACAAATTTAGAGTCCAAGTGGCACCTTTAAGACCAGCAAAGGTTTATTCAAGTATGAGCTTCTGAATGCAAGGCACACTTTGTCAAATGCATTGGAATGGCAGAGGAGATTTGTATTTATACCCCGCCCTCCCTGCGGGCAGGCTCAGGGCAGCTTACAGAGGTCCGGTACAATGTACCTAGACAACGTAAAACTTTAAAATGTTTTAAAACAGCTTAAAGCGTTCTTACATTTAAAGTGCTCACAGTATTAACAATTCCTTAAAATTAGAAGGCGTGCTTAAAAATGTATAAGATATTGCTAAAATGGTACACAGAGGATGAGATAAGAACATAAGAGACGCCAATGTTGGATCAGGCCAAAGGCCCATCCAGTCCAACACTCTGTGTCACACAGTGGCCAGAAATACCAGGTGCCATCAGGAGGTCCACCAGCGGGGCCAGGACATTTGAAGCCCTCCCACTGTTGACCCCCGCAAGCACCAAGAAGACAGAGCATCACTTGCCCCAGAGCCCCTATCTATACCTTGTGGCTAATATCCACTGACGGACCTCTGCTCCATATGCTTATCTAATTCCCTTTTGAAGCCGTCCATGCTTGTGGCCGCCACCACTTCCTGTGGCAGTGAATTCCATGTGTTAATCACTCTTTGGGTGAAGAAGTACTTCCTTTTATCCGTTCTAACCCGACCGCTCTGCAGTTTCATGGAGTGCCCACGAGTTCTTGTATTGTGAGAAAGGGAGAAAAGTACCTCTTTTTCTACCTGCTCTTTCCCATGCATAATCTTATAAACCTCGATCATGTCACCCCTCAGTCGTCTTTTCTCCAAACTAAAGAGCCCTAAGCGCTTTAACCTTTCCTCATAGGGAAAGTGTTCCAACCCTTTTATCATTCGAGTTGCCCTTTTCTGCACTTTTTCCAAAGCTATAATATCCTTTTTAAGGTGTGGTGACCAGAACTGCACACAGTATTCCAAATGAGGTCTCACCATTGATTTATATAGGGGCATTATTATATTGGCTGATCTGTTTTCAATACCCTTCCTAATAATCCCCAGCATAGCATTGGCCTTCTTTATTGCAGTCACACACTGTCTCGACATTTTCAGTGAGTTATCTACTACAACTCCAAGATCTCTCTCTTGATCTGTCTCTGCCAGTTCAGACCCCATCAATGTGTATTTATATTTAGGATTTTTGGCTCCAATGTGCATCACCTTGCACTTGGCCACATTGAACCCCATTTGCCATGTTGACGCCCACTCGCCCATCTTTGACAGATCCCTTTGGAGTGCCTCACAATCCTCACTGGTTTTCACCACCCTGAACAACTTCGTATCATCCGCAGATTTAGCCACTTCACTGCTTACTCCCAACTCCAAATCATTAATGAACAAGTTAAAAAGCAGTGGACCAAGTACTGATCCCTGTGGTACCCCACTGCTTACCCCCCTCCACTGGGAGAACTGCCCATTTATACTCACTCTCTGTTTTCTATTAATTAGCCAGTTTTTGATCCATAAAAGGACTTGTCCTTTTATCCCATGATTTTTGAGCTTACTTAGGAGCCTTTGATGAGGAACTTTATCAAAAGCTTTCTGGAAGTCAAGGTAAACAATATCTATTGGATCCCCCTTGTCCACATGTTTGTTCACCCCCTCAAAGAACACTAACAGGTTAGTGAGACAAGATCTTCCCTTACAGAAACCGTGCTGAGATAGTTAAAGAGCAGATGCTAAAATGGGCGGTTAACATGAATAAATAAATAATGATGTCATCTTGGGAATATTTATGGAAGGATGCAATGAAAATATCAACATGTAACAATTTAAAAGAAAATTGCTATAAGATGATGTATAGATGGTATATGACACCAAAAAAGATTGCAAATATGAATAGTAATATGTCAAACAAATGTTGGAAGTGTAAAAGTGCGGAGGGCTCGTTTTATCATATGTGGTGGACATGTGAAAAAGCAAAAATGTTTTGGGCTGAGATACATGCAGAAATGGAAAAAATTGTGAAATGTAAGTTCAAGAAAGAACCGGAAATATTACTTTTGGGACTTAAAATGGAAGAAGTCAATATGGCAAAAAGAACATTGATGTGGTATATGATCACGACTGCTAGAATGACATATGCTCAATGTTGGAAACAAGATAAGGTCCCTGAACTTGGGGAGTGGATTAAAAAATTACTTGTTATGGTTGAAATGGACAAAATGACAAGGAAACTTAACAATTTGGAAACAGAAGAATTTTTTGCAGACTGGAAAGACTTTAAAGATTATTTGGAGAAATATTGCGATGTAAAGGACAATTTCCTTTGCTTTGAGAACTATTGAAAACTAAAAGATAGTAGAAAATAGATAAATGTATAAGAATAATTGTTGAAAGATACGTTACCTGCGGTTGTGAATGAGGAGAAAGGGAGGTATGGAAAAATGTAAGAATTGAGCTGGAGGTAGGAGCACTGTGGAAAGCCGAAAAGGGGGGTGGAGGGAGGAGGGAAGGATATATAATTATAAAAGTCTTGAGGTATGTTTGAATTTTTTAAATTATATCCTAATAAATTGTTTTTTGGGGGGAAAAATTAGAAGGTGTGCTCTAAGATATACCATCCGAGTTCTCAATTCAGCGGTCTTCCGGTCTGTTAGGGCCAGCTCAGTGCTACAGATGTTCATAAAGCATAGTTGGTGGTCATGGTGGCGGCTCCTAATTGAAAGCCTGGTGGAAGAGCTCCGTCTTACAGGCCCTGTGGAACTGCAAGAGGTCCCGCAGGGCCTTGATCTCTTCTGGGAGCTGACTAGGTTATAAACTTATAGACAGGGATTTAACAGGAAATTAACATGTAACATGATGATTAAGTTATGCAAAGAGAAAAACTAAATAACAAGTTAAGGTTATAAGGTCAGCAGTTATAAAGCAATAAATATGTCACAGTAGCAGATAAATGTCTAAAGGTGTTTTTTTCTAATTGAGGGAAGTAACAGAATCTTAATTATCTCCTCTCAGGCGTAGAGGGTGCGTGGACGTGGAGGTTATTTAACAGTATATTTTGAGCTGGATGTAATGTCAGCAGACATCCACTCAGTATTCTAATACACTATTTTGAAAAAAGAAATACACTAAAATATAGAGGATTTGTAGTCCTTCTTGTTGAGAATACATATGTCAGGACTGAATGAGTTAGCATATGTAATGGGATAAAAATCCAATATCCCTGTTGAGTCCTGGGGAGGCTTTTCTTCCAAGTGTTGTAATAACTTGTAATTCAGCAATTTCCCTTTCCATTCTGTTCCTGAAGTTCCTTTGTAATAAAACAGCTACTTTGTGTTTTTTAATATTAATGGGAAGAGCAAAACGGCCGCTGGCAACGCTTCTCCCATCCCTCCTTATCCACTGTGATTTCATCAGGGTAGGCCCACACTTGTGAAGTCTTAACCTTTAAACGGAAGCTGATATTCCAAGGGAGCTAGATTCTGCACCAACTTTCTTTGATCACCCAGTGTGTTGGCGAAACACACACCGCTCGGCTCATGGAATCGAGTTCCTTGCCCATTTTATGAAACGTCCTTCTCTCCCCAGCACCAGACGACCCCGGGAAGCGCGAGGAGCCGGTGGAGATTGAAGTGCTGCTCGATTCTGAAGAGCGGCTGGCAAGTCGGAAGCTCGGGCAGCCGAAAGCGCGGTGTGGTGGGTGCCAGAGCTTGGGGCAGAGGGAGCGAGGGAGGAGGGCTATCTCTAGACTAGACTCCTCTGATCTGCTGATCTTTTGCGGCAGAGATGGCACGCTCAGAGCCCGGGCAGGAGTCACAAGGTCAGCGAAGGCCACGCAACGCAGAGAATGCCAAAGACATCCGGAACGACCAGCCCGCCAAGGTCACAGGTAAGTGGGGGCTACAAATGTGCTCGTGTCCCGCCGCGGGAGGGTCTTCCGTGCATCGTAGTTTTGGGGTTGGCAGTCGTCAATATGTTAATGTTACTCAGCCATGTGTATCCTTCTCCGAATCTCCTGATGACTCCCACCGTTCCCTCTAAGCTGAGTTAGTGTGAGCTAGCTCACAGTTCTTTACCTTCCAGCTCACACATTTTTCTCTTAGCTGAGGAAGGAGGGCTCCAGAACAAACTAATTTATGCAGAAGCCAAATCGCTTGCTCACCACTTTAATGCCAGCAGCTCACAAAGTAGAATTTTTGCTCACGAGACTACACAGCTTAGAGGGAGCATTGCTGATGACACAGTCGAGGTCCTTAAGCCCCGCTACCGGGCTGCTGCGGTTAAATGGCTAAGAGTGAACAGATTGAAACTAAACCTGGAAAGGCTGAAGTAATGCTGGCAGGGTGGATTTGATTTAATCAATCAATCAATTAATTAATTAATTTGACTTATATCCTGCCCTTCCACATGGGCTCAGGGCGGGTTACAAGAGGCAATTGCCATACATAACACTAAAACCAGATAAAACAATCAATTACATTTACATTTAAAATCAGTGCTCACAACAATATATCATCTAAGACGGGAACTCCCAATACAGTGCTTCAGAAGTTTTACTGTCTCTTCTTGATCGGTCTGCACATGAGGTCATTTCGGGGGGATCGCGGGGGATCGCAGTTCCCCCGGGTGAGGTGCAGGGGGGCGGGGCACAGAATGAAGCCCCGCCCCCTGCTTCCGGCCACCCCGCTTCCGGCCCTCATTCAGGCACGCGGAGGCAGGAGAAGAGGGAGGGTAAGTTGCTTCCTCCCCGCCTCTCCCCACCCCTGCCTGCCTGGGGCCAGGGAGGGCCTTCGCGGGGCTTCCTCGCACTCCCGCCGGCCTTGCAGGTCCACCGCCGGGCCTCTGATGTCAGGGGGTGTGGCATATGCTAATGAGTTATGCTAATGAGTTCCCCTAGCTCTTTTTCTACAAAATGACCCCTGGTCTGCACTATGTCCGTTCTCCATTCCCAAGGCCAGTTCGCAGAATTGGCAGCGCGGTGGTGGTACAGTGATGGTGGCAGCTCCCACTCAATTTAAATCGCTTAGTAAGACTAGATTTAAATCATGGTTTTCTACGTAAAGACTCCTTCTTGCTGGTGTGATATTTACAATATTTATTTATCTATCGAATTTATACCCCGCCCTCCCAGCCAAGGCCGGCTCAGGGCGGCTTACAGAAGGAAACCAGAGGAAGGTTTCGTTTTTAGAATAACAGCTTTTAATCCATTGCATGGATATACAGCCTCATGCTTAGGGTTGCCAAGTCAATTTTCCTTACTGGTGGGGGAGCCTCGCCGGGCTCTGGGAGCCGTTCATCGATGTGCGCGCGCGCCGCCAGCACGTCACCAGAAGTGACGCGCGACGTCGATCACGTTGAGGGCGTGGCCCCAATCGTCGGAGGAAAAACCTTAGAGTTTTCCCTTCGACAATCGGGGCCACGCCGCCAACGTGATTGACGTGGTTGCGTCACCTCTGGTGACGCAGCCACGCTGCGCTTTGGGGGGCGGAGTTCCCCCCAGGGCCCGATTCCGCGGGAATCGGGCCTCCGAAGCGGGGGTTTACCCGCCCCCCGTCCCCACTTGGCAGCCCTACTCATGCTACATAATTAAAAACTAATCCTTTTTTCCGTGATGAATAACTTTTGGACTATATAACGTATCTTAAAGAGAAAGCTATCTTTAGATAGATTTTTCCTCAAAAAGCATCTTCTTAAAAACCCGATTTAAATTTTTAAAAATCCAATTTTTAATTTTTTCAAAAAAAATCATTGATTTTTATCCACCCTGAATGCTGGTTGGGAAGGCGGAGGTCTTGAAGGACATTGTGCTCTCCACTTACGGCGAAGCCAAGCTGACCCCTCGCCGACTCACTTCAGAGCCTCGAGGTTGTCATTGCTGGAGGAGCAAGCGAATGGCTGTTGCAAAAAAGACTTTCTTCCAGCTCTGCCTAGCTTGAAAAACAGCCCTGTCCTTTGCGAAGGCTGATTTGCCCACCTGGATCCATGGTCGCAGGAGACCTTTTTATTTATTTATTTATTTATTTATTTATTTAACTTTCAGTTTCTATACCGCTCTAACCCCAAAGGGTCTCTGAGCGGTTTACATACACTTTTAATTACCTATCTAGGACCACGTTATATGGGGGAAGTGACTGCCTACCGGCACCCAGGCAGCAAGGCTCCGTTGTCGTTCGGCTCTTTTTTTAAAAAAAAATCCCATGCAGTCCTGCTAAGATTCCCTCACTTTGCTTTATCCCGTGCAGTCCTGCTAAGATCCCCCTGCCCCTTGCTCCTCGCGTCAGACCTTTCTATCCCTTGCACCCTCCCAGGTTCCATTTTCTGGGACCTCTTCCTCCTTTTTATGAAAGCCCTTTTCTGTCTTTGTCCTTTGCAGTTCTCTATTAGACAGGAACAGTAGAGTCGGGCATAAACTTGCTTCTGTAGTAAAAACAAAGCCAAAAACGAACTCCGTTCTCATTTTTCCATGTGATCTACATTTTTCTGGAGTAATTTATTTTCGAGTTGTTCAGATTTTTTCCCCCTAATTGTGCCAGATGGCAGCTGCAGGGTTCTGCAAGAGCCCACGGAGACTCCAGATCTGCTTGCCCTTTGGGGGGGGAACAAAAGGTGCACAGAGCTCTCTGGAGCTGCCGCCACAGCACTAGTTAACAACATAAGAACATAAGAGAAGCCAATGTTGGATCAGGCCAATGGCCCATCCAGTCCAACACTGTCACACAGTGGCCAAAAATACCAGGTGCCATCAGGAAGTCCACCAGTGGAGCCAGGACACTGGAAGCCCTCCCACTGTTGCCCCCCCCCCAAGCACCAAGAAGACAGAGCATCCCTTGCCCCAGACTGAGAGTTCCTATCTGTACCTTGTGGCTAATAGCCACTGATGGACCTCTGCTCCATATGTTTATCCAGTTTCCTCTTGAAGCAGTCCATGCTTGTAGCCACCACCACCTCCTGTGGCAGTGAAGTCCATGTGAATTCAAAATGGTCTCTAAGGAGGTGTCTAACCAGGATCTCAGTCAGGTGCAAGCTTTGTAGCTTGACTGCAGGCGGGTGATCACCCGGAGCTACCAGTCTGGGAACAACCATGTCGCCTGCCTGTACTTTGATGGTTAGTTGCATTGCAGTGGTGGATGTGGGACCTCTAGACCCCCGACAGAGGTGAAGATGTTCCTTTTCCTGCGAATGAAGAAAAGCAGAGAACTGTGGGTTACTGAGGGTCTGAGGGGGGAGAGGTTCCTTCTTGAGCATCTTTCAAATCCATGTGCTTGGGTGTTTTTGCAGCACATCCTGTGCATCTCGTTGCATCAGATTCTCCCCCACCACCATCTGTTGAAGGCATCCATCTTGGTACATACTAATCCACTGATGCCATTTTGTGCACCCACACCCTTGCCCTACTCCTCTAGCGCCTCTCCAGGAGCTTCCCCGATGTGTTCTGCCTTCTTGTTGGGTTTTGTGTAATCGAGGCAAGGGACGGGGCTGTAGGTGAAGGGATGCTCTGTTTGCACATCTAGGTATCATGCCTGCATGTAAGAGCCAGTTTGGCGTCGTGGTTAGGAGCACGGACTCTAATCTGGCAGAACCGGGTTTGATGGCCCAATCCTCCACATGCAGCTGCTGGTGTGACCTTGGGTCAGTCACAAGTTCTCTCAGAGCTGTTCTCTCAAGAGCAGTCCTCGGGAGAGCTCTCTCAGCCCCGCCCTACCTCACAGGGTGTCTGTTGTGGGGAGGGGGAAGGGAAAGGAGATAGTAAGCCACTCTGAGATCCCTTCGGGTAGTGAAGGGCAGGGTATAAATCCAGTCTCTTCTCTCTGTAAAAGAACAAAAACGGGGGCTTGCGGAGTTGGTACAGAGAGTGCTGCTAGAAGGGGAAAGGTGCAGGAGGGGACAAGAGCAAAGCATGCAGAGAATTCCCTGTGTGGGTTCTCCAGTGACAAATGTGCGTGCCTCAGCATTCACAGCAATGTGGAGAATCCTCACCATGTAGATAACAGCCAAGGAGGAAATGTTAGCATAGCTCTGTCGTAGGGGTGAAGAGAGAGGGTAGGTGGCAGTGGGTGATTTCTAGAGGGAAGAAGAAGAGGGTTTTTTATGCCCCACTTTTCTCTACCTTAAGTAGCCTCAAAGCGACCCACAGTCTCCTTCCCTTCCTCTCCCCACAACAGGCACCTCGTGAGGCAGGTGAGGCTGAGAGAGTTCCGAGAGAACAGTGTGACGGTACCTCTCTTTTATTGTGTGTGGTTAGGTGTGGAGTAGTCTTAAATTTCTTACTGTTTCTTTCTCTCACTCAAAGTATCCATCGCTGCCACCAGGAATTTAATTCCAGTCTTTAATTAACCTTTCCCACAGTATTGTTCCTGCCAACCTAGCAGTTCGAAAGCAAGAAATTGCAAGTAGATAAATAGGGACCACTTCAGTGGGAAGGTAACAGCGTTCCATGCGCCTTGGTGTTTAGTCATGCCGGCCACATGACCACGGAAACGTCTTCGGACAGCGCTGGCTCTTCGGCTTTGAAACGGAGATGAGCATCGCAACCCTAGAGTCGGATTTGACTGGCTTTCGAGCAAGGGAAACCTTTACCTTTACAGTATTGTGCCCAAGCTCTAAGACTCCTTCGTTGGACTATGTGGTTCTGAGGATAAGACACTGGGTTAACAATAAACAAGATAAGACTTTATTGGTAAAAGAAGCGTATTGGTTACAGGATGTTTTGTTAAGTTTCTCAGTAAAATTTTCCCCTTTTTAATCGGGTCTCTGTCAGCTTTTTCCCTCACACTCTTTAAAATACTCTGAGTATATTAGGTTTTGCCTAATATGCCCCCTTAAGTGTATGTTCTTCTTCCTTTAGAATCTTAATGCCTTTCACAGCACTTCTGTATGATTCTAGTTAGAAGACTGCTTCTCAGACTCTGTGTAGATTGACCACAACTGACAGCTGCTGACTGCAGACTGCACACTGCCTTCTCTCTCCATACACACACACACAAACACACACACACCTCCTAGCTCCGCCCAGTCACAGTCACCAACCAATCGCCTCACGCCCTCTTCTCCTTCTTTCACCCCCTTGTTCTTCTGACACTTACCAGCCATTTAAAGGAACACACACATATAACTTGAAATCATTACAGACGGTGACTAGCCCAACCCACTGGCTTTATGGGGAGGAGTGGAGGATCAAACCCGGTTCTCCCGATTAGAGTCTGCCACTCTTAACCCCTACACCACGCTGGCACCACACTGGGGACAAGCGTCTGCTGAAATTCTCGGCGAAGACTACATGCATGAAGCCGCTTTGTACTGAATTGGACCATTGGCGCTATGGCTCAGTGGTAAAGCATCTGCTCTGCACGCAGAAGGTCCCAGGTTCAATCCCTGGCGTCTCCGGTTAAAAGGTCTCACAGCGGGTGATGTGAAAGACCTCTGCCTGAGACCTTGGTAGAGCTGCTGAGAGTCAGAAGGGAAAGGAGTTTGTAAGCTGCGCTGGGACACCCTTGGGTAGTGAAGGGTGATGTATAAATCCAATCTCTTCTTCTCTTCTTCAGAGTAGACAGTACTGACCTTGATGGAAGAACGGTCTGATTCAGTATAAGGCAGTTTCATATACTGGTCAGCAATGTTCTCTCTAAGCTGTGGAGTCCTGTGAGCAAAAATTCTACTTTGTGAGCTCCGGGCATTGAAGTTGTGAGCGAGCGATTTGGATACTGCATAAATTAGTTTGCTCTGGAGCCCTCCTTTCTGAGCTGAGACTAAAATGTGTGAGCCGGAGGCTAAAAAACTGTGAGCTAGCTCACACTGACTCAGCTTAGGGGGAACACTGCTGGTCAGTATTGTCTGCTCTGACTGGGAACGGCTCTCCAGGGCATCAGTCTTCCACATCACCTGCTGTCCGGTCCTTTCAACCGGAGGTGCCAGGGATTGAACCTGGGACCTTCTGCATGCTCTGCTGCTGAACCACGGCCCCACCCCACCCCAGTGCTGTTCTTCGCTGGATTTCTTAGCTGATCTCGCAGGGCCTTGTGTTCTTAAGCCAGGTGGCCCGTTCAGGATTGCTTAGCACTGTTTCGCTGTGCTTTGAATGTTACGAAGATCTGTAATGGGCCTGCTTGCTTTCATAAACTGGAAACGCAGCAGGCGCTCATGGACTCCCGTGGAACAGAACGACAGACACCAGTGCTCCCCTGCCTTCTTGGCCCAATCAGGTCTCAAATCGTGGCTTTAGAAAAATGAGAAGGCTCCCCAGGTTCTTACAAGAGCGATGGTGGGGTGGAGGAGTCACAATCCTGCAAACCCTGCAAGTTGCTAGCCCTCAAGGTCTAGAAATACATCTGAGCAGTATCTAGCAGAGAGTCCAAATAACTACCCCGTTCCCTTGCGATGCACAAATCTGTGCCCGTGTGATCCCGGGGCCAACTGGGAAACGCACAGCCAGAGTCCAACGAGTAAGATTAATATCTATTTATTGCAATGGAAGCAGAGAGAAGGATTCCAGAAGCTGTTGTTGTAGCTTCTAGCCCTCGCGTGCCGTGAGGCTATTCCCAGCTATATGTTTGTCTTCTAACCCCCCCCTCTCATTGCTTCAATTTCCCTGGATTTCCAGAAACAACCATCATGTCCTGCTCGAGTTCCCAAAATATTTTGTTAGCCGGAACTAGAGTCTTCCTCCGTCCGTCTTGCTCAGTGCGTTTGCCTCGCTTATGTGCTTCTGTCTGGATGCTGTCTTGAAGAACAAGGCGGGTCTAGGATAGTCTCTCTGGGGCTGGGCCCATTTAGACAGGGTGGTGGATGCCACCAGAGGGGGGGGGGAGTCGCTCTTCGGCTGCTTCTGCTGCAGGGGGGGAGCCCAGGGGAGTAGGGAGTTGTTCCTCAAGAGCCAGTCTGGTGTAGTGGTTAGGAGCGCGGACTCTAATCTGGGAGAACTGGGTTTGATTCCCCACTCCTCCACATGTGGCTGCTGGTGTGACCTTGGGTCAGTCACAAGTTGTCTCAGAGCTGTTCTCTCGGGAGCAGTCCTCGAAAGAGCTCTCTCAGCCCCACCTACCTCACAGGGGGTCTCTTGTGGGGAGGGGAAGGGAAAGGAGATTGTAAACTGCTTGAGACTCCGAGTGAAGGGCGGGGTATAAATCCAGTCTTTCCCTCTTCTTCTTCTCTCCCTGTCTTTCCTATTGTATTCCAATAGCTTGCTCCTATCCTGATGATTTCTGTGACTTCTAGTTGCAGAATGATGCATGAGAGGAGCTGGTGCTGAATTCTAGAGGGTTACTCTGGAGCCCAGAGTGGGTACCGATCCGGCGGCCCCTTGTGCACTAGATGAAAAACTTAAAGAGACCACACATGATGCTAAAAAGCTGAAGAAAAGAGTCCCCGGTTCAGCGCCCGCCGAAATTCGGATCTTCACTGACGGAAGCTTCCCCGCTGGCTTTGCCTTGAAGCTGTACTGCCGGACCCAGCCAGGTGGAGTCGCTGTGGCGTATTTTGCTGTTGTCGTTTAAGAAAACAAAACGGGGACCAGTAACATCTAGCGGACTGAACTGTACTTGCGAGCAGACCCCTCAAGGTTGTCAGTTCAGGCCTAGCCTACGTGTATCTGTGTGTGGGGGGGAGTGGGTAACAGATGCTACCCCATCAGGGATCTGCCCACAAGTAGAAAACCTGTACACAGCATGGAGCAGGCTGGGTTAGATTGTGGAGGCACCCAATGAAAACAATCGGCAATAGATTCAGGATGGGCAAAAGAAATACGTACTTCACCCTGACCTGGATAGCCCTGACAAGTACTTGGATGGGAGACCTCCTTGGAATACCAGAGGCGGGAGGTGGGGGCAGGCTTTATTCAGACACCTCCTCTGAATATCCTCCAGGCACCCCAGGAGGTCGCCCTGACTTCCAGGTGCGCCCACACACTTTCTTTCTCTCAAGCACACATGCACATGCATTAAAAAATACCAAAAAAGAGAGAGGGAGAGAGAGGAAAGAAATACATATTTACATAACAAGTAAACTAAATGGTAGAATTCACGGGAGTGATGGCCACAAGCATAGACCGATTTAAAAGGGGGATAGACAGGTTCGTGGAGAAGAGGTCCTTCCTCAGCAACTAGCCATGATGAGCAATGTTCCCTCTAAGCTGCGGGGTTTTGTGAGCAAAAATTCTACTTTGTGAGCTACCGGCATTGACGTTGTGAGCAAGGGATTTGGCTGCTGCATAAAGTAGTTTGCTCCGGAGCCATCCCTTCCTGAGCGAAGACAAAAATCTGTGAGCTGGAGGCTAAAAAACTGTGAGCTAGCTCACACTAACTCAGCTTAGAGGGAACACTGACGATGAGTAAAAGGAACCTCTGTATACAGCGCCCTTGTGAATTGCAGAGGTGGGGGACTGCATCAGTGGAAGGCCTCGGCTTCCGTGCCCTGTTGGTTGGCCATCCAGGGCTACTGGCCGGCCTCTATTTGAAACGGAATACTGGACTAGTTGGACTACAGGTCTGCGCCATCTGGGCTCTCTTCTTCTGTTGCTCGTTGTGTTTGTTTTGTTTTTTCTATTTTCGCAAAAACAAAATGCGTTCAGAGTTGGGCTCCGTCACCCACGGGCTGAAGCGGTACAGTCCGTTCAGCCGCCTTAGGCCGCCTCCTCCTCGTTCCCCTCCTTTGTTACCTTGGGAGATCACGTTGCAGGTTTTCAGCTGGACGCTTGCTGTGGAATTTGGGGGCGGATGCGTGGGAGGGATGTGGCCGGGGCCGCCGGATAGCACTGCAGAGGGACGAGCCTGCGATCCATTCTCATTTCAGAACCACCCCGGGACTCGGGAACGAAGCCAGCCGCCAAGAAGAGAATGGGGGATAAGCCTTGTAAGTTGCTGACTCTCTCATCAGAACGGGAATGTTGTAGAAGTGGGAGGGGGGCCATTTTTCTTGCCTTTCAAGGAAGGCTTACAGCTGCCATTCACTGGCAACTACGTTTTAAGTTGGAAGGTCCCCGCAGAAGCAGCTACTGCCTGGTCCAAAGAACAAATGTGTATTTTCTGAATTTCAGCACACCAGCTTCTGAAAAAAACCCTTTTAAAAAAGGTACTGGTCCTCATAATTCTAGAGAAATAATTTAGTACCCGTTGTAGACCAGTGCTCCCTCTAAGCTGTGGAGTCTTGTGAGCAAAAATTCTACTTTGCGAGCTACCAGCATAAAAGTTGTGAGCGAGCGATCTGGCTGCTGCAGAAATTAATTTGCTCTGGAGCCCATCCTTCCTGAGCGAAGACAAAAACGTGTGAGCTGGAGGCTAAAAAACAGTGAGCTAGCTCACACTAACTCAGCTTAGAGGGAACACTGTCGGCCACCCTTTTTAAGGGGGAAATTTAGAATCTGTCTAGTGCGTTTGTGTCCCTTCCTTTCTCCCAGAGTGGCCCATACCATCCCCTATTTCCTCCCAACAACCCTGTGAGATAGATGATGCTGAGAATGTGACTGGGTCAAAGGTCACCCGATGAGCTTCATGGCAGTGTGAGGGTTTGAACCCACGTCTCCCGGATCCTGGTTTGATCCTTTTAACCACACCACGTGGACTTCCTTTTAAGAAGTTTATGTGGAGAAATGCCATTTCAAGCCATTCAGATATACGTTTTTAAAACCGGTTCGTTTGCTTGAAGCCTTGACCTTGGATCTCTGCCCCAAGGGATTGTGGGTGTTTTTTTTTTGTGTGTGTGTGACTACATTGTTCCCCGCCTCCCTCCCTTCTTGCCAGATCGGGACTGCTCCGTCTCTTTGCTGCGGCTCCATTCCACAGACTCTCCCCACCGCCTAGGTTTGACTCAGTCCAACGCCTCCCATCCACTCGGCAGCTCCTATGCCCGCGGCAACGTCAAAGACTGTGGTGCCAAAGCGGGACAGCGGAGAGCCCTGGAGGTCAAGGCGGGAGACCCCTCGCCCCCGGCCAAGAGCTTTGACCCCTCCTGGCGGGCCCGCTTCCTCATGGACTTCGACACCGTCACCGGCCAGCTGGTGTGCATGGTCTGTGAGAACGCCTTGCGCCAAGTGTGCCTGGCCACCGTCAAGCAGCACATCCTCCAGTGCCACGCCGAGACCCTCCACTTGCCCCGCGAGGTCCGCCGCACCATCCGGGAGGTCTGGGAGTCCCGGGGACACTCCCCCACTCCGCCCCTGCAGAAATGAAGGGCCGACTGGACTCTTTCCTAACCCGCTGGCCTCTGGGATTGTGGGGAAAATGAATGATCTATCCTGCATAGCGCAGTCTGAGGCTGGAGGAGAAGGCGACGGCATCCATTGTCGAACTGGGCCTGTAACCCTTTGGGGTGTCTGTGCAGTTGTCGGATTACCTGTATGTAGGTTTCCAGATCCGTTCTGTCTCTCTCTCTCTCTCTCTCCCTGTCTCAATCGTTGCAAAATTGTAAGATGGGGCAGCAGTAGTGGTTTCCCCTACCCCCTATCTTCTCACCCGCCGATCTCCCCCTCTTTCTGCTCCTGCCCTCCTCGAGTCCAGCAGGCAGGGCAAGTCCCACAGAGCAGAGAAGCCGGAGCTGCCCTCGTCACCCGCATGGAGGCGAATTTAAAACCTCGGATGAATTCTTCGGACCGCACCGCAACCCCCTTCTCGCTCTGACCCTGGGAAACTGTGCTTCTGTGTCTCCCCACGAAGAAATCGGGGGGAGGAGGGGGCAGCGCCGGTTAGGAGTGGCCTTTCGAACCGACAATTGTAACCAGTCGGTTCCGCAAACGCGCAGCAGGGGGGCCAGCCAGTGGTTCCCCATTTCCTGCATCAAGCAATAACCAGCCTCTTGCATTCGCAATAATCTCTCTCCCAGTTTGCCTCCCGCCCGCCCCCAACATTCCCCTGACCCCAGAGCTAGCGCCGCGCATCAATTTGTAGCTGTGACTGGGCACCCTGTCTCGTGCCCGACTGTGACCTTTTCTTTTGTAGACTGTTTCACAGGGACCACTTGTACTAAGGGACAATAAATTATTTTTTATGATATATCGTAGCGTTTGTTTCTTAGCCGCAGTTGTTTCTTTCCCCCCTTTCAAGCTCTGGCCCCCGCACAGAGGCCCTGCAGCTTTTTCTGGGTGCTTTGTGGGGGGGGGGGAGTGAGATCAGTAGTTTCACTCTTCCGTTGGCCAGAGGTTTCCGCAGGGATGCTTAATGGGCTTGGAAAGCCCCCGTCTGCTGAGGACACACGGGGCAACTTCGAGGTTAGAATAATAGAATCCCAGAGTTGGAAGGGGCCACGCAGGCCATCTAGTCCAACCCCCTGCTCAATGCAGGATCCGCCTAGAGCATCCCTGACAAATATTTGTCCAACCGCTGCTTAAAGTGAGGGGGAGCTCACCACCTCCCTAGGCGGCTGATTCCACTGTTGCACAACTCTGTAAAAAAGCTTTTCCTAATATCCAGCCGGTACCTTCCCGCCCTTAATTTCAAGCCATTCTTGCGAGTCCTACCCTCTGCGGCCAACAGGAACAGCTCCCCTCCTCTGAGTGGCAGCCCTTCAAACACTTCAAGAGAGCCATCCTGTCCCCCCTCAGCCCTCTCTTCTCCAGACTGAGCATTCCCGAGTCCCTCCGCCTTTCCTCGCAGGGCCTCGGTCTCCAGGCCCCCGATCATCCTCATAGCCCTCCTCCGCACCCGCTCCGTTCTGTCCACATCCTTTTTGAAGTGAGGTCTCCAGAACTACACACACTACTCCAGGTGTGGCTTGACCAATGCAGTGTACAGCGGGACTATCACGTCTTGCAATCTGGACGTTATTCCTCTGTTGATAAGTGCTAGGTGTTATGGAGGGAGATGTCTATTAGTGGCTACTAGCTCTGGTGATGAAAGGGGGCTGCCATGTTCGGAGGCAGTCCACTTCTAAATATCACTGCCAGGGATGCAACACTGGGGGGGGGGAGCCTCATCCTCTATGCCCTGTCGTTGGCCTGCCAGAGGAACTGGCTGGCCACTCTGTGTAGCAAGATGGTGGACTAGAGGGACCGCTGCTGAGAAGGGGATGAGTTCTGGAGGAGGTGGGCCAGCCTGCCTTTGAATGCACGTGTGCATAATGGGTGGAGCTTTTGAGAGCCAGTCTGGTGTCGTGGTTAAGTGCGTGGACTCTAATCGGAGAGAACCGGGTTTGATTCTCCACTTCTCCACATGCAGCTGCTGGATGACCTTGGGCAAGCCATAGTTCTGTCAGAGCTGTCCTTGAAAGAGCAGTTTCTGTCAGAGCTCTCTGAGCCCCACCTACCTCACAGGGTGTCTGTTGTGGGGAGGGGAAGGGGAAGAAGTTTGTAAGCTGCTCTGAGACTCTTTCGAGTAGTGAAGGGTGGGGTATAAATCCAATCTCTTCCTCTTTTGCACAGACAGGAGGATTTCCATCTGCGGAGCACGACTTTCTCACCTCCAGCTGTGGCCCAAATGCCTCTGCTCCAGTGCTGCTTCTGGGGGAACATCATTTTGGGCTGGGAGGGATGAGAAATTCAAGCTCCTCCTACGGGAATCCTCTGCCTGCCCACACGTTCCATTGGTGGGAACCCTCTGCTGGAGAAGAACCCCTGTCTCGGTCTCCCACTGGACAGGCAGACGTTTATCCGGCAGAAGTGCTCCCTGGTATGGGGGTGGGTGGGATGGCCTGTTGAATTTCGGGCTGTCGTGGAGACGGAAGGGGGTGTCTGTGCTTGTGTGTTGAGTGCCGTCAATTCACTCCGACTTACAGTGGCCCTGTGAATGAATGTCCTCCAAAACACCCTTTTGTTCACAGCCTTGCTCGGGTCTTGCAGAACTGAGGGCCCTGGCTTTCTCGATGGCTGAGTCAATCCATCTTAGAATCGTAGAATGTTAGAGTTGGAAGGGACCTTGCACGTCATCTAGGTGGAGGTGGAGTTAGGGAAGAGCGCGCGGTGACATAGCACAGGCGCGGTGGAGCCGGATGTGGACATAGCTGGGCCGAGGCTGCTACGGGCCGCGCGCCAGAAGATCGCGGAGCTGAGAAGACTGGCCTTCGACAGCAAGAATGGGACGCCGACCCCAGTGGACCGCCGGAAGGAAGAGAGTTGGAGAACAGCTAACCCACCACCTGGGTGCCGGTAGGCAGCCCCCACCCCCTGTAATATATATGTGGCCCATAGTCTAGGGAATTAACTTGTACTTGCAACATATCTGTAAACCGCTCTGAGACCTTCAGGTCTGAGCGGTATATAAACCAAATGAAATAAATAAAAATAGTCCAACCCCCTGCACTCTGCAGGAGCATCTTACGTTGGCTCTTTCTCTTTTCTTGCCGTCTTCCACTTTTCTGGGCCTTATTGGCTTTCCCAGTGACTTTTCTCATAGTGTGACAAAAGCACGATAGCCTCCCTTTGGTTGTTTTAGCTTTTAGGGAGAGCCCAGGCTTGATTTGCTCTAGAACCCACTGACCTGTCTTTTTGGTGGTGCACGGTATCCGTAAAACTCTCCTCCAACATCACATTTCAAAGGAATCGACTTTTTTCCCCAAATGGCTGGGGGGAGGAGGATTGGGATGGACCAAAAAAATAAATGCGGTAACATGGGGTGTCTGCCAGGTGTATCAGTCAAGTGGAGGGAGGCAGACCCAGAGCCCAGGGAGCAAGAAAAGGACGTACGGCACTAGACAGTATCCAGGTGAAAGCAACTGGTTTGCGAATAGGAGCCCAACTTCGATACAAAGCTCAGAGATCTTCATTCCTACTTGTATCTGACGAAGGAAGCTTTAACTCGAAAGCTCATACCCTGGTGATCTTTCTGGGTTTTAAGGTGCTCCTGGCCTTGGAACTTAGATCAGGAAGCAGATCAAGTTGGGGTGTGTGTGGAATCCTGTGAATTAGCGTTCTCTATCCTCTATTGCAGTGTGTTCCCAACCTGTGGGTCGCAGGCCAGCCCACTCTAATGGCCACGAGTCCTGCACTCTGCATCATTCTTTCTCTTCCTGTTCTCCTCGTCAAGTTCTCACACTCTTGCTTTCCCACCTCCTTTTTCAACAATGGGGGGGGGATATGTCTGGCAACTAGTAATTTGACAGTAGTAGCTGGAAGAAGGGCGAAAAAAGGCTGGAGTGTTGCTAGGAGCTGTTCAGTGCGTGGATAAGTGAGAGGAGAGAATGAAGTGCAAGTCATAAGCTAGGAAACACTGGCCTAGGGTACCCAAAAAACCCCTTGGGATTGGGCCCTGGATTGGTCACCATACCCAAAAGGCTAGGAGCCACTGCTGCCTGCCTGCCAGCAGGGGGCACCCTTCACCTCAGGACAATTTTGAGCCCGGCTCACAATTTCACCCCAGATACAGGGAGCTCCGCTTGGTGTCGTCTGAATCTGTTCTGCTAGGAATGAAACTTTCCCCTAGGACAGGAAGCCCGGAGCCTGGGTGAGGGCTCCATGTGCCGTGGGGAAGTATTGCCCTTGGCGGAAGACCGTGCGATCTAGCCCGTAAAAGTTCAGTAATGAATGTACCTTTTCTGCCACTGCTTCCGTAATAGGAATGACCTTGATGGAGTTAAAAAATCCTGGACTGAATTGATGTTCCGTAAGGTCTTGCACGGGGGCTCCAGTCCGAGTACGGAGCTCTTACATGGCAACGGTCTGTTCTGCCTTGTGATCGAGGAAAACGCCGCAGGGTTGCCAGTGCAGGTGTAGAGGTACCTGCTGACCATATAGCTGCAAAGAGTTACCCACCCCAGTCAGGTGTAGTGGTTAAGCACATGGACTCTGATCTGGGAGAACCAGGTTTGATTCCCCACTCCTCCACTCGCAGCTGCTGGATGACCTCGGGCAAGCCATAGTTCTGCCAGAGCTGTTCTCTCAAGGACAGTTCTTGGGAGAGCTCTATCAGCCCCACCTACCTCACAAGGTATCTGTTGTGGGGAGGGGAAGGGGAAGGAGTTTGTAAGCCACCCTGAGACTCCCAAGTGAAGGGCAGGGTATAAATCTTCCTCTTCTTCCACAGCTATGAAGGGGTCTGCAGGGACATTTTCTTGTCTAGATTCCAGTCCAGCAGCACCTTAGAAACCAACAAGGTTTTGGGGGGTAATAAGCTTTTGAGAGTCAATGCCAAAAGCCAGTTTGGTGTAGTGGTTAAGTGCGCGGGCTCTAATCTGGGAGAACCGGGTTTGATTCCCCACTCCTCCACTTGCACCTGGCTGGATGACCTTGGGCAAGCCGTAGTTTTGATAAGAGCTGTTCTTGAAAAAAGAGCCGTTTCTGTCAGAGCTCTCTCAGCCCCACCCACCTCACAGGGTGTCTGTTGTGGGGAGGGGAAGGGAAGGGAGATTGTGAGCTGCTCTGACACTCCCTTGGGTTTCACTTGCATGGGGGTGGGGTATAAATCCAATCTCCTCCTCCTCTTCTTCGTTGCATAAGAAACTCCTGAAACCGGTATGTCTCTGTTTCATTTGCCAGGCTGCTTCAGCAGAGGCACCTCTGTCGCTCCGTGTGTGCACGAGCAACTTTTTTTGGGCCCCTTTGTCATATTTCCCCAGAGTCTGCCCCATTCCCCAAGACAGAAGAACCACCTTGTTACAAAACAGATCACGTTTAATAAATTACAGCGGAGGCCCAACACACGGGCCCAATAAATAACAAAGACAAGAGCCAAAGAAAAACAGCTGGAAGGGGAAGAAAACCCCTGATGAGGTTCTGACCACATCTGCTTCCGGCCCAGTTATGTGGGGGGTGGGGGGCTTCCAGTTATTTGAAGGACAAATCTTTTTCAGGTAGGGGGAATACATTGTATGCTCACCGATGTGGGGCGGGGTGGGGTTGGGTGAAATGGTGGCTGGGCGGCAGCACAGGTGAGGACACACCAAACCTTGGATCCCGACTAGCATTTCAGTGGGTGCAAGGACTTCTGCTTGCACAGCATAGTTTTGAGTGCTGTGTATGGGGAGAGGATCCCCCCCCTCAAATTCCCTTTTTTTAAAAATATAGCAATTGATCACACTAATTCTCTTTTAAAGGAGAAATTTCTCTTTGAAGAGAAACCAATGCACCCTTTTGTAACTTCTGCCCTTGCAGCAGTTTTGTTACACACCACAGGGTGGTGCTCTAACCAGGACAACAGGAGGGTCTAGAAAGACACTGCCTTCCCTCTAAGGACCGACAGAGAGAAATTCTGAAAAATCTGCCTTCCTACCCCTTTTCTCTTTGAAATTCTCTTGGATCAAAACCGTTGATTAGGAACTGACTCAAAATTCCTAAAAACAGGGGGAAAGGCAGAAAGCTGGGTTTCAGAGAGAAAAGGGGTAAAGAGGAATTAAGAGAGTTTCTCTTATGATTTTCTGAATTTCTCTTCTGAGTTCCATGCTGCCCCCTCCCATGCAGCCCAAAATAGCCCTGACATGCTATTTCTGAGGGACAGCGGGACCCCCCCTCCGGAACAGGATGGGGGAGACATATTGGGCTGTCACGCAGAATGTGGGGGAGGCAACAAAACCACATTTTGTGAGTGGAAGCAGTGGCACCCACGGAAACGCTAGTCGGGAACCATCGCTACGACTGTTTTGTTGTGCGTCTATTGTGCAAGGAGGGCTGGGCATGATGGAAACCTCCCCGTCTCTCACTTTCAGAAAGGCAAGCATGGAGATTTCCCTCTGCTGGGCTGTGTGCATACCTAGGCCATAAGTTTTATTTCTTCTTAGCAACCCTGTTCCGCTAATGGTGGTGCTTTCCTTCCCGCTGCAAGAAGAAGGGAAAGGACTACTCCTTGCACCCGGGTTAGCAGGACAAATCCAGCCCTTCAGTTTTTTCCCCACCGTCTACTTTTGAAACTGAACTTTCTAATTTTAGGGTTCTCCCCCCACCCCACCCCCCGTGCTCAATTGTTCAGAACAGGTAGTTTGAAGACCAGGAGCAAGTGGCCGGGGGGGGGGGGATATTTTTAAATGCATCTTTGTGGCATTTCATAACACCGGTCTTTCCACATTCAGGGTTGCCAGCTCCAGGTTGGGAAATACCTGGTGTTTTGGGGGGCGGAGCCTGGGGAAGGAAAGGGAGGGGCCTCCGCAGGGTAGAACGGCCACCCCATCCATCCTCTAAAGTGGACACTTCCTCCGGAGGAACTGATCTCTGCCACCGGGAGATCAGTTGTGATCCCAGGAGATCTCCAGCCGCAACCTGGAGGCTGGCAACCTTGGGGCACAGGTTAATCAGGGTGTGTATCAGGTGACCTTGCCACCAATGCTCCCTCTAAGCTGTGGAGTCTTGTGAGCAAGAACTCTGCTTTGTGAGCTCCTGGCATCAAAGCTGTGAGCGAGCCATTTGGCTCCTGCATAAATCAGTTTGCTCTGAATCCATCCTTCCTGAGCGAAGGCAAAAATGTGTGAGCCGGAGGCTAAGAAACTGTGAGCTAGCTCACACTCAGCTCAGAGGGAACACTGCTTACCACAACTGGTTTACACAGTTGTGTGTTGTCACACTGACACCAGCAAGCACATTCTGATTTGGGGCAGAGCAGGGGAACAGAGGGGCCACACGACCCGGCTTGCGGGGATTCAGAGTTGAGGCTGCAACTTGCTGGAGGGGTTCTGGGGGGGGGGGAATGTTTGGAGGACTTATGGGAAAACTGCCCAAGTCTGACAATGGGGGGAAAAAATGGGCATGTGATAATCATGGATCAATGGATGTTTCTTTTTCCGATGGAGTTCTTCAGGGCTCTCTCACAGCTTTGGGGGCTCAGATGTTTGTGTTTGGTGAGGTCTTTCTATATATTCCCTCCCCCAGCCAATGCACCCAGTCCCATACGTAATCACCACACCTGCCCTTCCAGAAGTCATTGCTCGTGATGGATTCAAGTGCCACCAGGGGGAACACTGGGACTGGCCGGAAGACTAACAGAAACACGGGAACCCGCCAACCGATGACACACACACACACAAGTACACAGACACCTTGGCCTTCCAGCACCAGGCGGCAAGGAACAAAACAGCGAAAACCCAACCCCCGAAACATACGAATATATTGCATCTCAAGATAAATTAGAAAGACACACACCCCCAAACTGAATTCTTCAGGTCCTTCGCTCCAGGGAACCCAGAGTAGACCCGAGAGGAGGGAGATCGGTCCTCACTCCCATCCCGCACCCCCTCCAAAAAAAAAAAGAGTTCCAAAGTTCCTACCCCCATGGCCTTAAAAGTGGAAGACTCGTCCGTATACCAGGGCTTTTTTTGTAGAAAAAGCCCAGCAGGAACTCATTAGCATAATAGGCCACACCCAACAGCAGAAACACATTAGCATATTAGGCCACACCCCTGACAACACAGCTCACTGGCATATTAGGCCACAGCCCACGTTACCAGAAGTGTGCTCATCCAACCACACCCACCTTTTGCTTCTTACTCTGTTTACCTTGTTGTCAAAACCCAGGGCTTTTTTTTGTAGCAGGAACTTCTTTGCATGTTAGACCACACACCCCTAATGCAGCCAATCCTAATGAGTGTCTGCTGTTGGGTGTGGCCTATTATGCTAATGTGTTCCTGCTGGGCGTGGCCAACTCGGGAGCCAGCCGGAACTCCGTTCCTGTGCGTTCCTACCCAAAAATAGCCCTGCCGTATACTATATTGTCCTGAGAAGAGGGGCAGAGGGAAGTTCCTAAATTCTTGGGGGGGGGGGACCACAGGAAAGAGATGCTCAATCCCCCCCTCCGTTTTTTGCCCCCCCCCCAATATCATCAATAGGTTGGTGGCTATAAATGAACCCTCCAAATTAAAAAAAAAACAGCAGTGCAGTTCCAATAAATAAAGGAGGAGAGCTTGAGGTCCTCCCCTCCCCACTAGGCAAGAAGTGGAGAAAGGTGTTGTAATTGGCACCCCCCCCCCGAAAATCTTTTCATTCCACACTAAAATTTTCACCCAGAAGAGATTCTGTGATCCTGAGCATCAAAATCGGAGAAATGTCTGAAAGGGAGAGAGGGTGTCTAGCCCCTACGCTCCCTGTTAAACACATCTCCACCCTTAGAATGGCCCCATGCCCTCCTCTCTCCAAAAATGGGTCGAAAAGGAAACAAAAGCAGTATCCGGATCAAAAGGAGAAGGGGAAAGGGGACAGAGTACCCCGAAATTTCACGCGCACACACTCCCCGCCCCCAATAAATTAAGCCTGGCAGTGTCACACAGCCACACGCAAACCCCTCCCCGTCCCGACCCCAGGTAAGAAAGTTTCAAGAACCCGACACCGGCGTAGAAATGAGATGTCCTCTCCAAGTTGACGCCAGGCCTACGAAAACGGGCTTTTCTAGTACTTGGAGGACTTGCGAGTCCGCAGGGGCCTGAAGGCAGCTGAAGATCATCTTGTTCCGCGGGATCTGGTCCAGCAGCCGTCGAGGGTCCTCGACCCCCCCCTCCCCGATCCGCGTGCCTTGCTTTGGTTGGCCCGGCATCCGTTCCCGCGCTGGCCGTCAGTCCCTTATTGCACGACCCACCCTCCCTCCCTCCCTCCCCGGTCCTGAGATCGACGGTGGCGGTGGCTCTCCCCGCCGCCCCGTCTTGCTCACACCTCGGTCTCCACCCCGGCCAGCTTGGGCGTGAGGATGCGGGGCGTGATGCCGGCGTTGAGGTCCGTTTCGAATTCCAGCAGTTGGCCCATAAAGTTGAGGTTGGGGGAGATGATGGGGCGCCGGCCCTTGACATACTTGTAGGCGTCACCCATGGTCATGAGTGTGTGCTTCATCAGGTAGGCGATGACGATGGTGGCGGAGCGCGAGACGCCCGCCTGGCAGTGGATGAGGACGCCCTTGCCGCTCTGGTGAGCCTCCTCTGCAGCAGAAACAGGGCAGGGTTAATGCGGGAGACGGAAGCATAGACCTCGCCCTAGGTGACTGCTCCAACCCATACTTTGCCCAGCCATCGCTTCCATCTTCGCCTAGGGTGAGTAGCGATTGGCTCCAGGCAAGCAGTCAGGGAAACGTTACACGCACGAAGCTGCCTTCTACTAAGTCAGACCACTGGTCTGCCTAGGTCAGTGTCATCTACTCTGATTGGCAGCGACTCTTCAGGGCAGTAGATCCAGAGGAGTTAGCCATGTTAGTCTCTTGCTGCAAAATAGTAAAAAGCCCAGTAGCACCTTTAAGTCTAACAAATTTTATGGCAGCATAAGCTTTCGAGAAACACAGCTCTCTTCATGCATCTGACGAAGAGAGCTGTGTTTCTCTAAAGCTTATGCTACGATAAAGTTTGCTAGTCTTAAAGGTGCTACTGGGCTTTTTGCTATTCTTCAGGACAAAGGACTTTCACCTTTCATACTAGCCAACCCTTTAAACTGGAGATAGCAGGGATTGAACCTGGAATATTCTGCATGCAAAGTAAATGTTCTGCCACTGAGCCACATGGCCTCTTCCCTGCGGAAGGTCCTTTTTAAAATCTTCAAATCCTTGCTGTCTGCCAACTGTGTTTTAAATGTTCAGAATATATCCCCTCCATCTCACAGAAAACAAAAAATGGGCAAATAAATCAAAATGCAACCAAGCAAAATAACTCGATTGGAGCTTGTGCTCAAGGGACCTGCGTTCTCTCCTGTGAGCACCCGCGGGGCACCTGAGATTACTGTCAAAGTGTTTTCCCTGGGTTCCTCCACCATGTTTATTGGAAAGCTGGCCTCTTCTGTGGTGGCCCCCTGCTTATGGAACTTTCTCCCCACTGATGTTCTTATGGGGCCATCTGGGTGAGGTCGTGGATCAGTGGGAGAGCATCTCCCTGGAATGCAAGAGGCCCCAGGTTCAGTCCCCGTCACCTCCAGTTAAAAGGGTCTTCAGTAGCAACGGTAGGGAAAACCTTTGCCTTGGAGAGAGGCTGCCGGTCGGGTCCTGAACTCTGCTCAGCCGTGAAGCTCACAGTGAGACCTTGGGCCACTCTCAGCCCACTGGGCTATTGGGAAAACAAAATGGAGGCGTGGAGAACCATGTATCCCTCCAGCAGCTCCTTGGGAAAAGGTCAAGATAAAACAGAACAGTGGCACTTTTAAGACCGACAAAGTTTAATGCTGTGTATGTAATGCTTTTGTGTGCGTGCACATTTCCTGACTGATGCCGTGTGCGTGCACATGAAGACTTATACCGAGAATTAAATTTTGTTGGTCTTAAAGGTGCCGCCGGACCCAAACTTCGTTCAGTTGCTTCAGATCAACACGGCTACCCACTTGAAGATAAAACGTCTAAACAGTAGGAAGACCTTCCTGACAGAGCGGTTCCTCAGTGGAACAGGCTTCCTCGGGAGGTGGTGGGCTCTCCTCCTTTGGAGGTTTTCCAACAGAGGCTAGATGGCCATCTGACAGCCATGCTGATTCTGTGAACGTAGGCAGATCACGAGACGGAGGGCAGGGACGGTTGGATCCTGGAGGTTTTTTGTCTCTTCCATTGTAACCTCACAACAACCCAGTGAGGTTAGCATCCCACCCGGCCCAGCCCAAGAGATTTCTGGCTGTGCTTGACAAGGGCCAGGGTGTTTTCTGCCCTGGCTACAACCTGGTGGGGTTCTCTGCCAGATAACAACTGGTCTCTGAAGGATCCAGTGCAATTCTGCAGGGCCGGCAAGGCAGAGATGTTCCGCTGGGCGTTTGGTTGAGGGCAGCAAAGGTTTCCATCAGTCTGGCACTCCTGTTCCCCCCCCCCCCCCCCCCCCCGGCTTCATCAGTAGCCTTAACATTATCTTTGTTAGGCCTCCTTGTGTTTTATTGGATTCTCCTGTTATTATTAATTTGTGTGTGTATATCTTTACTGTTGCACACCACCTGGAGCCCCATTCGCAGGGAAGGGCAGTTTAAAAATTGAACCTAATAAATAAATAGGTTAGAGGCTGCGAGTGTGACTGGCCCAAGGTCACCCAACAAACTTCCATGGCAGAGTTGGGATGTGAATCTGGGTTTCCGCTGGGAAAGGCAGGTTTTGTGTCGTTGGCCTCGACCCAGCTTTGAGAGAGCACAAGTTTGATGTAATGGTTAAGAGCGCAGACTCTAATCTGGGAGAACCAGGTTTGATTCTCCGCTCCTCCATGTGCAGCTGCTGGTGTGACCTTGGGTCAGTCACAAGTTCTCTCAGAGCTGTTCTCTCACGAGCAGTTCTGGAAAGAGCTCTCTCAGCTCCACCTACCTCACAGGGTGTTTGTTGTGGGGAGGGGAGGGGAAGGGAAAGGAGATTGTAAGCTGCTCTGAGACTCCTTCAGGTAGTGAAGGGCTGGGTAGAAATCCAATCTCTTCTTCTTCTTCTGACCCTCCCTCCCCACTTGCTCACCCCACAGCGGGCCGTACCAATGAATTCAAAGGCCTCCTCAAAGTACTGGCGCAGGTCCTGGCGGCTGTTGTCGGTGGCGGGGAGGCGCTTGTAGCGGAGGCGCCCACTCTCGGCGTGGTAGAGGGGCAAGTGGGTGGTGACGTTGAGGACGTGGCCCACGTTGAGGCTCAGCATCCGCTCCAGGTCCTGTGCATCCCTTTCGTTGCCCAGAAACAAGAAGGGCAGGATGGGGCTCAGCTCGGCGTTCTCCAGGTCGGGCGTGAGAGGTGGGCCCAAGTCATCCGGCCCATCCGCAGTCTCCGGCGTCACCAGGCTGCCTGCAAGTCAAAAGAGCAGTTAGCATTCCATCGAGCGCTTTGGAGTCTTCAAATCACCTCCATCCATTTACAGCCAGTTTGGTGTAGTGGATTGGAGTGTGGACTCTCATCTGGGAGAACGGGGTTTGATTCCCCCACTCCTCCACATGCAGCTGCTGGTGTAACCTCGTGTCAGTCACAAGTTCCTTCAGAGCTGTTCTCTCAAGGACCGTTCTGGAAAGAGCTCTCTCAGCCCCACCTGCCTCACAGGGTGTCTGCTGTGGGGAGGGGAAGGGAAAGGAAAGGAGATTGTAAGCTGCTCTGAGACTCCTTCGGGTAGTGAAGGGTGGGGTATAAATCCAGTCTCTTCTTAGAGATCTGCACTCTACTCTTCAACTCAGTGTGGGACTCAAAGCCATTCAGGGCGCCCGTCTTCCCTCTTCCAATTTATCCCCACAACAGCTGCCCTGTGAGGTTGGTTAAGCTGAGAGGAGTAACTGGCCCAAGGCCACCCAGTGAGCCTCCGCAGCAGAGTGCGGATTCGAACCTGGGTCTCCCAGTTCCTAGCCTAACCATTGCACCACTCTAGCTCCCACATAGCAAGGAAATAAGAGCAGGGACTCTAATCTGGAGAACCGGTTTCGATTCCCCACTCTTCCGCTTGAAGCCAGCTGGGTGACCTTGGGTCAGTCACAGTTCTCTCGGCCTAAAAAATAACCCTGGCTCACTACAAAAAGAGCTAGAGTTTCAGGCTGTCAGACAACCTTCAGATCTCCTGCTATGCTATGCCCACCACCATACGATAATTAATTAGGCTAAGAATTTACAGGGCTCAGAGAATGGACTGGGGAAAGCAACAACTATGCTGGACTTTTGGCAAAATAGATCACCCCCCATGAATCACCACTAGGCCTTTGTTGCAAAAAAACCAGTGTCATAGCATAGCCAAGCCTATTCAGGCCAAAGCAATTACAGCCTAGGCAATCCAAGTAAACCTGTAGACGTGACCAGTTTATCCTGTTCAGACTGCCTGTAGAAATACAAGCAATTAGTTTGTACGGGGGGGGCAGGGTGCTTCTTGAAGTAGGATCTAGCTTTCAGAGATAAAAGGAGATGGGTTAGATCTGGTAGATCTTTTCCACTGGGGGGGTCCCTTCCCTTCCACAAGAAGCCTGCCCCAAGTCAGGATTTTGTGGTTTGTGGGGCAAATGTTTTGGGGTTTTTTTGGTGGGGCTGAAGTTCTCAGTGCAGAAAGAAAAGCCATTTAGCCAATAGAAAGCTGTTACCAGGATAGATCTCTAAATTGCAAGTTGTCAACCACTATTGAGATGATAGTTCTCAGCTGCTGCAAGTTAATCACTTCTGCCAGCAGGACTTCTATAGTCAAGAAAGCTAACAAGCAGAAAAACTCTCTTAAAGGAGACCAGTTTCTTTACACAGAGTTAGAAGGGGTCCTAGAGGTCACCTACTCCAACCCCCTTGCTCAGTGCGGGAATTAGTCAACTACAGCACCCCACTCTGCTTAAAGGAGCGCACGCCAGTGTTCCCTCTAAGCTGAGTTAGTGTGAGCCAGCTCACAGTTTTTTAGCCTCTGGCTCACACATTTATGTCTTGGCTCAGCGAGGAGGGCTCCAGAGCAAACTAATGTATGCAATAGCCAAATCACTCGCTCACAACTTTAAGGCCTTTAGCTCACAAAGTAGAATTCTTGCTCACAAGACTCCCCAGATTAGAGGGAACATTGGCGCACGCCTTTAATAAAATGTTTAAAAATGACTGAAAAAAGCATTGACAGGAGAAATTCTTGTCATCATGCAAGCCACCATCTCCCCGCCCCCACACAGGCCAAAAGCAGTTAGAATAGTGCAGTTTTGATACAGCAGAAGGTGCAGATGTACAGAGTTTCAAAGCTCTTCCCCAGCATCATGGGACTCCCCCCTAACGCACACAGCTCCATTCTGAGAGGAAACGGTCTACCAGAGAACCCAATCAAAGATGCTGAAATAGGGTCGTCAACTCCAGGTCGGGAAATGCCTGGAGATTTTGGGACGGAGCCTGAGAAGGGCGGAGTTTGGGGAGGGGAGGGACTTCAATGGGGTGTAACACCACAGAGTTCACCCTCCAGAGCAGCCTTGAGAAAGACAGGCGCTATCTACAGTGCAGAAAGAAGAGCTACTGTAAGCTCTTGGAGGACTGGCTACATTAGGGGTGTGTCGCTTAATATGCAAATGAGTACCTGATACAAAAAGAGCCCCACTATCGCCAAATCTGCTCAATTAGGCAGAAACTGTCCTTCTCGGATAGCTGGTTCCCTTCCCCCTTTCTTACCCTCCCCCCCTAAAAAAAACCAGTGGTCTCCACAATTTTTTTTTTAACATTTCCTTTGCACTTTGCAGGCATCTGCAGGGCAAGGCCTCTGTTTTCCTGCCCTGAAACATCTGCTAAGTAAAAGGACACCACGGCTTCTTGTGACTTTTAAGTTCTAGGAAGGGGCGGGGAGGCAAAAAGGGAACTGGGGAGGCTCAGAACTGTGCAAGAAGGTCACAGAGATGAAGTCATGGTACCAGCTGGGCAGAGTCGCCCTCGGTTCAATAGGTTCTGAGCAGGTGCTGAAGGGGAGGGGAGGGCTGAGTGGTTCCCCTCCCCCCTCCCCTCTCCCCCCCATCTCCCTCCTCTTGCCATCTGGTCACCCAATTGGGATGAGCTCACCGAAAAGAAGGGGAGAAAAAGGGGAGGGCCACCCAGATGATGAGGGAGGGTGGGAGCGCCTTCCCTGTGAGGCAAGGCTGAAGAGTCTGGGACTTTTTAACTTTAGAAACTGAGACGTGATACAATTATGCACGGGCGAGAAAAGTTGACAAAGGAGAATATTTTTCTCCCTCTTCCCAAAATGCTAGAAATCAAGGGCATCCGATGAAGTCGATGGGCGGTAGGCTCAGGACAGACAAAGGAAATACAGAGGGTGATTAAAGGGGAGGGTTCGCTGGCAGAGGGTGTGGGAATCAACAGCTTTAAAAAGAGATTAGATAGATTCATGGCAGGTAGATCTTATCAGTGGCTACCAGCCATAGATGACTGAGGGGAAACGCCACATTCAGAGGCACGAAACCTCTGAATCCCAGAGCCAGGAGGCAACATCAGGGGAAGGCCTCAGCCTCTCTGCCCTGTTGTTGGCCCTCCAGAGGAACTGGTTGAGGCCACTGTGTGAGACAGGATGCTGGACCAGATGGACCCTCACTGGTCTGACCCAGCAGGGCTCTTCTGATGTTCTTATCAGGGGAAGGCCTCGGCCTCTCTGCCCTGTTGTGGGCCCTCCAGAGGAACTGGTTGAGGCCACTGTGTGAGACAGGATGCTGGACCAGATGGACCCTCACTGGTCTGACCCAGCAGGGCTCTTCTGATGTTCTTATCAGGGGAAGGCCTCGGCCTCTCTGCCCTGTTGTGGGCCCTCCAGAGGAACTGGTTGAGGCCACTGTGTGAGACAGGATGCTGGACCAGATGGACCCTCACTGGTCTGACCCAGCAGGGCTCTTCTGATGTTCTTATCAGGGGAAGGCCTCGGCCTCTCTGCCCTGTTGTGGGCCCTCCAGAGGAACTGGTTGAGGCCACTGTGTGAGACAGGATGCTGGACCAGATGGACCCTCACTGGTCTGACCCAGCAGGGCTCTTCTGATGTTCTTATCAGGGGAAGGCCTCGGCCTCTCTGCCCTGTTGTGGGCCCTCCAGAGGAACTGGTTGAGGCCACTGTGTGAGACAGGATGCTGGACCAGATGGACCCTCACTGGTCTGACCCAGCAGGGCTCTTCTGATGTTCTTATCAGGGGAAGGCCTCGGCCTCTCTGCCCTGTTGTGGGCCCTCCAGAGGAACTGGTTGAGGCCACTGTGTGAGACGGGATGCTGGACTAGATGGACTATTGGTCTGATCCAGCAGGGTTCTTATGTCCTTACATTAATCCCAAACGTTCCAGGTTTACAAGCAAGGGAAGAAGTATGCTTGGGGGGGGGGGGATATTCTGTCTTTGGCTTCTCTCCCCACTTGGGTGCCTTGCTGCTCTCTCCCAACTGATGGTGACGGCCTGCTGGTTTGGACCAAACGTTTCTCTAGGCCAGTGCCCTGTTTCCAACAAGGGGACAGCCAGGGAGCCCACGAGCAAGACCTTGTTGGTCCCCAGTGCTTAGTGTTGAAAGTCAGACTGCCTTTGTACATGGAGATTCCACTTAGATATCACAGCAGTCAGTATAAGCCTATCGCCTGTGAATGCCGTGGTTCGAGTGCCAGACTAAGATCTGCACAACTCAGGTTTGGATCACCTCTCGTGCCAAGGAAGCTTGCCGGGTGACTTTGGGCCTCCACTGGGGAGAATGGTGGGGTATAAGAAAATGAATTAATTAAATAAATAACAATAGTATAAGGCCCCTACTGGACGGGACCAAGGGGTCACATGGTCCAACTTCCTGCTTCTGACAGGGGCCAGCCAGATGCTCCAAGAAACCCACATGCAGGCTACACCTTTCTTCTGGTTCTCAGAGGTATACTGCCTCTGTTCATGGAGGTTCCACGATCACAGGCAACATCCCCCTCTCGAGGCTTTATCTGCCTTTTTAGTTCTTCCTCAAGGTCACCCAAGCCACTAGAGACTGCCACATCCTGTGTAAAGGAGTCCGAGGCTGCAACTCAACTTAGATTTATCCTAACCCACCGGGTGTCACCCCACTGCCTTGCCCACCTCCCTCCCTGCTTCCCCACTTCCCTCCCCCCGTCACCCCCTCCGGCAACTACAACCCCTGCTTACCTCTCCTGCCCGTCACCTCCTGTCCATCTTTGTTGAGCGGATCCAAGACCAGATGCAGATTTGGCGAGGGCTGCTGTGGTTTTGCGGGTTTGGGAATGCCAGCCGGAAGAGTCATAGTCTCTGAGCCGGCGCAGCCGTTCTGCTCCTTGGGCCAGAGGCGCTGCAGGGAAGAGTCCCTGCCATCACCTACCCCGCGCGAGGAAATGAAATCCAGCATGGCCAGCTTGCCCTGCTGGAGGCGCCGCCTGCCCGCGGCATCCGCCGCCCCAAAGTGCATGGCGCCCTGCAGGTGGCTCTTGGTGAACTCCATCAGGTTCCGGCAGTCCAGGATCAAGGGGGACGGCTGCTGCTGGGCCCGCGACTTGGTCATCTTCTTGGCCAGCTCGTCCGGCCAGATGGTGCGGACGCTGTAGTCGTCGTCGTCGTCCCCGCCGTAGCAGCTGGGGGCCGGCGAAGAACCCCCCCGGGGGTCGTAGGCCACAATGGGGTCACTGCTGCAGAAGCTGCAGGAGGAGCTCACCGACTTGACCGAGGGGTTGCAGGCGAGGCAAGCCAGGGAGCGCAGGGCCGCCGGCGCACAGGGGAGGCAGCCCAGCTTCTTGACCGACGGCGGGCTGGAGCAGCTCAGGGACCGCAGGCTGGAGCGGCAGGAGAGGCAGCCCAGGGAGCGCAGGCCGGACTTGGGGTGGGCGTCCTCGCAGCGCATCAGCCGCCAGCAACCCCGGCAGCCGCATTTCAAGGGGTGCATGGTGCCAGTGGGGCTGGAGAGGCAGGAGGAGCTGGTGGAGGTGTCCAGTACCGGCTTGGAGTTCTCCTTGAAGCACCGCTTCTTCAGCTTGGCCTGGGGCAGAAAGACCTTCAGCGGGGGGCCCAGCACCCCTTTCTTCTCACCGGGCTTCAGGCTCAGCTCCAGGGAGGGGTTCCTCTCCTGCGCCTGGCCTTGCGTCCCGCCCGCCGATAGCTTGGCGTCGACGGGGTGGGATTGGTTGGGCTGGAGAACCGTCTTGCGGGCCTCTTCGCTCAACCCCTTCAGGGCAGGCGGGGCCGGGCCCGACGGCTTGCAGGGTGGAGACTGCGGTGGCGGCTGCTTCTCGCCGCCACCGTTGTTGGAGAAGCTGTGGTTGAGGCGCAAGGCCAAGGTCTTGGGTCGCTGCAACACGCCGATCCGTTCTTCCAGAGGCGAGGGAGGCATTGGGAAAGGTGAGCTGCAGGGAGAGAGAGGGGCGGGAGAAGACAGGTCGGTCAGGAGGGCAGGGGCCAAGTCATAAGTCCACCGAGACTCGTCTAGGGCAGGGGTGGCCAAACTGTGGCTCGGGAGCCACGGGCAGCTCTTTCACACATATTGTGCGGCTCCCGGCAGGGCGGGTGGGGAAGCGAAGGGGAGGCCTTCTTTTTCTCCCCCCCTCCCCCCATCTATTTGCGTTCTTGGTTCTTGCTCTCTCTCTTTCTTTCCACCTCTTTCCTTCTTTCTTTCCACTCCTCTCCCTTTCTCTCTCTCTCTCAGACAAATAAATATCATTCGCAAACAAATATCACTGAACAAATAAATAGCACTTTCAATATCTGTTTTTACCCCTTAGGGTTGCCAAGTCGAGTCTTCTTACCGGCAGGGGAGCCTTGGCGGGCTCCAGGAGCTCTCCGCCGAATTCCCTCCGACAATCGGGGCCACGCCCCGCTTCGGGGGGCAGAGTTCCCCCCGGGGCCCGATTCCGCGGCGGTGGCAGAAATCGGGCCTCCAAAGCGGGGGTTTACCCGCCACCCGCCCCCACTTGGCAGCCCTATTACCCCTTCTGCTTTTATTTTTAGTCTCATTTAATGTTAATAAAAAGCAAATTTGTGTATTTTTAAATAAAAACATGTTTGTAATATTTGTTCATATCTTGCGGCTCTCAAACATCTGATGTTTATTCTATGTGGGCTCTTACGTTGATCAAGTTTGGCCACCCCTGGTCTAGGACATCCTTATATTTCTAGTTGGAGTCATGCAAAGGAAACATGCGTATGGCGATCCCGGCGGGTCTGCCCCCACTAGAATTGTCAGACGGGAGTCATCCCTCCGAAGGCCGGCCTTTTAAAATGCACGCCGACATCTTGCCTGTTCCATAGCCTCTTAGCATTCCGGATTTGCATGCTGATGGATTGTATAGTTTAAGATCGGGGCAGATTGGCCCTTGAATTTACTGGGAAATTTCCCAGTGTGATGCTTCCTCGCGGGTCGCCGGAAGCCAGGAGCAAGCTAAGCCAAATGACCCCCTCCCGGGGGGGGGGGGAGGGGCTGAAAACACTGCTTGGGCAGATAGCTCACACGCAGCCCGCAGTGACAGTGACAATGGACGAGGCCAACTCCATCCTTTGTCATCGTCGCGATGACCCAGATCCAAGCCAAGCAACCCCTGCGGCATGCCCAGCATCCTGAGCCAGCATGTTTCAGGGACATAAAATCGACCGCTGGTCCCTCTGGGCCATCTCCTGACTTTCAGCACCTTTCCAGGGTCCTGGGCAAAGGATTTTTTCCTGACATCTCTGTCAAAAGAAACCAGGGACTGAACCAGCTGCCTCTCCTGACTTGGAACTGCTCTCTCTGACCCCATCTCTCAACATCCCAGTGTTGGAACTGGAAGAGGAGATGAAGAGTTGGTTTTATACCCCCGCTCTTCACCGCCTGAAGGAGTCTCGGAGCAGCTTACAATCCCTTTCCCGCTCCCCACAACAGACACCCTGGGAGGCAAGTAGGGCTGAGAGAGCTCTGAGAGAACTGCTCTTGAGAGAACGGCTCTGAGAGAACTGGGACTGACCCAAGGTCACACCAGCAGCTGGCTGTGGAGGAGTGGGGAATCAAACCCAGTTCTCCCCGATTAGAGTCTGTGCTCTTAGCCACTACACCAAACTGGTGATAGTTCAGAGAAAGCACCCTGCACACGCTCAAAAGCCAGGGCTTCCTCGACATTCCAAATCACTTCCTCTCATGTTAAATCCTGGCTCAAGTTATACTAATGGAGTCTATGCTGCCATTGGCTTATTCAGAGGAGAGGGCGGAGGCAAAATCATCTCACCATTCACAGTTCTTGGATGTGCTCCCTCAGGACCTGATTGGCTCTTTGCTTCCACGTTTCCCATTGGCTGAAATATCTGTATAAGCTTCCTGCCTCTGACACGCACTCAATCTGCTTTGTTCCTTTCTGTGCCGGAACATTTCAGTGTAGGGCTGCCAACCTGGAGATCTCTCACCATTACAGGTGATTGCCAGACAATCAAGATCAGTCCCCCTGGAGAAAATGGCTGCCTTGATGAGTGGACTCGATGGCGTTATACCCTGCTGAGGTCCCTCCCCCTCCCCTAACCCCACCCTTCCCAGGCTCCACCCCCAAAACCTCCAGGTATTTCCCAATCCAGACTTGGCAACCCTGTCTCAGTGCCGATTCCCTTACTGAGGATCCCGCTTGACGCTGTACTCTAACCCTTGCTCAGGCTTCCTGACCACTGCCATTACTTGTTTTTACTTTATTTACTTCATTTATACCTCACCTTACTCCACCGTAGGGACAGAAAGTGGCTTAGATTGTCTCCTCTCCATTTTATCCTCACAACCCCCCTGTGAGGTAGGCCAAGCTGAGAGTGGTGGGACCAATCCCCCAGCAAGTTTCCGTGATGGAGTGGCGATTTCAAACCTGGGTTTCCTGTTTCCTAGCCCGACATTCCAGCCACAACACCACACTGGCTCCCAACCGGCAACATTCCTTGAGAGCCAGAGTCGTGCGCCCCGGATGCTGAGCAGGGAGATCTGGGTTCAAATCCCGCACTCAGACCTGAAACTGACTAGTTGACCTCTTAGCCAGTGTTCCTCAGAGCCTGACTCAAGTTGTTGGGAAGATAAAAACCAAGGCACGCGTATCCTGCCATGAGATCATTGCAGGCGGGGCAGAATTAAAAACGTAATGAGATAGTCATGTTGGGAATGGAATCCCAAACAATGCAGGTCGGCTCAATCCAGCTGAGTTGCTGCCTGTTAGCCAATATCAAGATAGGCAGTTCTCTGTGTTTGTTGTGTGTGCGTTCACGCTGTGCTCAAATAACAATTATTGCCAAATTCTGCCTCAGGAAAAAAAAGAACTTGGATTCCAGCAGTGGTGATTTAGAACGCTTGCATCATGTTTTAATTTATTCCGTTCCTGCCAGCCTGGGAGAGGAGCAAAGAGGCCTGTCCCTGACGACAAGAGAGATCGTAGTGAGCCCGCTGGGCTCTGGAGATTTTATCAGCCGCAGCTCAACAGTCTTTCAAGCTTATCGCGGCACCCATGAGGGCTAGAAGCCTGGTTGTTTGTTTAAAGAAGGTCACGGCACTGAGGCGCTTAGGATGAATTTCACAGCCAGTTCCGTGCCTGCACCGAATCACAGCCACGGAATCACAGCAGGGGTCCCCAACCTTTTTTGAGCCTGGGGGCACCTTTGGGATTCTGACAGAGAGTGGAGGACGCAGCCACAAAATGGCCGCTACAGGAGGCGGAGTCAGCCACAATGTTGTGGTGATGCCTGCTGCCAAAGCGATGGTTTTTTTTAAAAAAAATAATATATCTGTGCAGCCACTCAAAATCCTTGCTGGGCAAAACCCCCACCTGGCCCCATCTACTTTCTAAAAATTCTTGGTGGGCACCTGGAAAGGTGTCAGTGGACCTCTGGATTAAGAGGAGGAGGAGGAGGAGGAGGAGGAGGAGATTGGATTTATACCCCGCCCTTCACTCGGAGTCTCAGAGCAGCTTACAAACATTCCTTTCCCTTCCCCTCCCCACCACAGACACCCTGTGAGGTAGGTGGGGCCGAGAGAGCTCTTTCCAGAACTGTCCTTGAGAGAACAGCTCTGACAGAATGATGCCTTGCCCAAGGTCATCCAGCAGCTGCAAGTGGAGGAGCGGGGAATCAAACCCGGTTCTCCCAGGTTAGAGTCCACACACTTAACCACTACACCAAACTGTCTCCTTTGGTCCTTTGCTCCCTACACTGCTTGCTTGAAGAAGAAGGAGGAAGATCACAGAATCATAGAATTATAGAGTTGGAAGGGACCTCCAGGGTCATCTAGTCCAAGGCCCAGAAGGAGATGAAGGTTTATACCCCACCCTTCACTCGGAGTCTCGGAAGGGCTTACAATCTCCTTTCCCTTCTCCTCCCCACAACAGACACCCTGTGAGGTAGCTGGGGCTGAGAGAGCTCTGAGAGAAGTGACCTTGAGAGAACAGCTCTGAGAGAACTTGTGGCTGACCCAAGGTTGCCCAGCTGGCTGCATGTGGAGGAGCGGGGAATAAAACTGGCTTCTTCAGATTAGAGTCCGCCGCTCTTAACCACTACACCAAACTGGCTCTCTCAGCACTATCCCAAGCCCCTCTTAAGGTATCTCTTCGGCCGCTGAAAGCCACGGCATAAAGGAAGAGATGGCAGCCAGGTACTGCACTTTGATCGACAGCCCGGCAGAGAAACTCTACCCTCTATAACTGCCATCTGTTTCCAGACTGGGGGGGGAGGGCGGCACTAGGATGGAGGACACCACCCAAAGAGAACCAATAGCCCTGTCTGGGGGACCTTTGTTGAGAGGAAAGACTTGTTCTGGTTATTGTCTTACTTGTGAGATGCCTTGAAGATAAGGTAGCCAGAGGTCATTTCGGGGGGGAACGCGGGGGATCGCAGTTCCCCCGGGTGAGGTGCAGGGGGGCGGGGCACATGATGAAGCCCCGCCCCCTGCTTCCGGCCGCCCCGCTTCCGGCCCTCATTCAGCCAGGAGGAGGCAGGAGAAGATGCTCGGCAGTGGAGCTGCAAGGCCGGCGGCGGCCGGGACTGTTGGGGGCGGGGTGTGTGGCCTTATGACACACTTCCGGTGATGTCAGGGGATGTGGCCTTATGACACACTTCCGGTGATGCGAGGGGATGTGGCCTTATGACACACTTCCGGTGATGTCAGGGGATGTGGCCTTATGACACACTTCCGGTAATGTCAGGGGGTGTGGCATATGCTAATGAGTTATGCTAATGAGTTCCCCTAGCTCTTTTTCTACGAAATGACCCATGCAGGTAGCCATCTCCGGATTGGGAAATCCCTGGGGATTTGGGGGTAGAGCCTGGGGAGTGGAGGGACCTCAGCAGGGTATAACGCCATAGAGTCCGCTCTCCAAAGCGGCCATTCCCTCCCGGGGAACTGATTTCTGTTGCCTGGAGACCA